AGTCGCAAGCAGCGAATTTCGGCTTAGTTCTATAAATTTGAAATACTTACCTTTTGATTACTGCACTTAGGCCTAATAACTAAGCTAAACTAGTTTGTATACAATAACTACGCTATAAGAATGGATTGGTTATTTGTTCAAGTCAAATACCTGTTGTAAAATTTAGTTGTAGGTATCTGGTACAAAGTATTTCACAGTTTGTCAAAGTTTTAACCTTTGTGAATTTAAGCTAACCCATGGACAGTTAGTACTTGGGAAGGTTAAGAAAATATTGATGAATAACGTACAAAGAAGTCTGTTAGGTCTCTCGCACGTTACTCGGAATGGCCTTAATTTGCAGTTTCTTAGAATATCCTTTCACAACAAGCAATTCATTAGGTGTTGTCGGGTAACTTGGTTCAGTTGTTCAGAATTATAGGCCTATTTCTCTCACGTCTACTTTTAGTAAAGTATTCGAGAAGTTCGTTCTTGGGTGCCTATTACAATTTTTTGATGATCACAAAATTTTGTCAGATTTTCAGCATGGCTTTCGGAAGGGTCGGAGCACTATCACTGCTGCTGTTGATTTTGTTCACACTGCTCTTGAAAAACTTGATGAAGGTTGTAAAGTGGCAGCGCTTCTGCTAGACCTTTCGAAGGCCTTTGATCGGGTTGACCATTCTATCTTATTGGCAAAACTGATTGGCTATAAAGTTCCAGGATGGTTGGTGAGTCTGGTGGAATCTTATTTAAAAAATCGCCAACAATGCACCACAGTTTCTTTTGATGATGGTACGACAGAGAGAGAACATAGGTCGGAAACACGAGTAGTAACCTCAGGGGTTCCGCAGGGCTCAATTTTAGGACCTTTTCTGTATATAGTTTATGTAAATAGTTTTATTGTCATGGATAATGTTTTTGCATGTATGTATGCAGATGATACTTCTGGGCTGTGCTAGGCAAACAATATGGTAAATCTTAAAGCTTTATTAACCAATTTTTCTGAAGCTGCCAATGCTTATTTTTTGGAAATAGGTTTAAAGGTAAACTTAAGTAAGACTGATCTTGTACATTTATCAATTGGTCGCAATGTTCCGGCTTTTAGCATCTCAGGTGATAATATGACTCTGGATGGTAATGATTTTTGTAAATTTCTTGGAATATTTTTTGACAAACATTTTACATGGGATAAACACATTGACCATGTTGGTGCTAAATCCTTGAGTGGTATTTCTTTGCTAAGAAGACTTTCAAACTATTTGGACTGTGAAACATTAAGCTCAGTCTATTTTGGAGTGGTGTATCCATATCTGGCTTATGGGCTTGTCCTGTGGGGAGGTTCTTTTCACACTTATACCAAAAGAATTTTTCTGTTACAAAAAAGAGCTGTACGTTTGGTAGCAAAAGTTAGCCCAAGGACTCATAGCAAAGGCATTTTTCAAACAACATTATGACTTTGTACGCAATGTATGTATACCAGGTTACAATTTTAGTTAAATTTAGCTGTAGTTCTGGTATTTTAATTTCTAATGTAGGACAAATGCATGACCATAACACTAGACAGTGTAATGATTTTTTCAGAGTGAGAAGACATTTCAAAAGGACAGAGAATAGCCCTTATGTCAAGGGAACAATTTTTTTCAATAAGTTACCAAACTGCATAAAGAAACTAGAAGGTAAAAACTTCAAAATGGAATTTAAAAAAATGGCTTATTAATAAATGCCCAGACAGTCTTGAAATGATTTTTTAAGTTGAAGGTATGCCTATTGTGTAAGTAGATTGGTTTGTTTGCCTCAACAGGATTGTTTTATTGTAGAGTAGAAAGCATGGTTTTTGTTCTTTTTAACTTAAGTTTGAGTTTTTTTGCATGGTTTGCACTGTATGATATGCTACTTATTTTATAATCTAAGTATTTTGACGATTGCAATGCATGTTATATGATGTTAAAAGCAATAAAGACATTTCATTTCATTTCATTTCATTTCATTTCATTTCATTTCATTTCATTTCATTTCAGTTCATTTTCGTGTGATTCCCCTCTAATATCCAACATAGCTATTGTTTTGATTTTAGTTGGTAATCATAATAGACAAGCTCCTGGGTGAAATGGGGGGGGGTACAATTCCGGGCCGTACATCTTCTTCTGCGTCGACCAGGGGGTGCAATTCCAGGGGGGTACAATTCCGGTCCTGTAAGAAGGGCTAGACTGACCGGGGATACAATTCCAGGGGGGTACAATTCCGGTCCGTACAGTTTTTTAGATGCCAGTGGATTTAATCAAACCACTCGTGCATAACAATATCAAAGTTTTATGAGGGGGTACAATTCCAGCCCGTACACGCCGTTTTGGTCGAGAAAATGAGACGTCATCGTGACGTCACTAACCTGCAGGGGGTACAAATTCCAGGGGGGTACAATTCCGCCACCCCGAAAATACCAGTACCAAAAACCAACGTTTACAGCTAGGAATATATCCGACCAATTAAATGCGTTAATCCAGTTCCGAGGATATTGATCTCTCTTGGTTTTGGATTTTGTAACAAAAAGTTATCGAAAATCAAAGTTATTTCCCATTAATTGAATTATTTGTAAACAAATTTTAATGTAAACATTTTGAACAAAACAATCTCATCCAAACAGCTTTTTGTTATTTAAAAGATTGCGTATTCTCTAAACTATGTTTCGTATATGTAGTTAACATAAGAAGGAAATGTGAAAAAAATCACACAATGTTGTGTTTTTTAACTTTTTTAATTTGATTTCCTAAGTAGTAAGGCCATGTATTGTAGGGAAAAGTACCGGTATCAAGGATCGTCGTCGAATAGGTTGTCATGCGACAAATAACCTTGGGTAGGCCTACGTACCCAAGATACAGTCTATGGGCTTATTGGATAAGCGTATAGACTGCCAGGAACGAGGATCAGATCGGAAAACCCCCACCACCGCTCCGTGCCGATGGCGTGACGTCAACCATTACCGCAACGATACGGAACTGAATCATGAGCCTTGGTGGTGAAGTGGATAGCGTGTCGGGCTGATAATCGGATGGTGCCGGGTTCGAATCCCACTGATAGCACTAACTTTTTGTCAACAATTTTTTTTCATATCAGCAAGTTTGGTTGGTTTGGTTAGGTTATGACAGTTTAATTTTATAATTTAAAAACTATAAAATTGAATTTGAGACATTTATTTTATAATTTTATTTTTAGAACAGAACTATTTTTTCGATAAGTAAACCTTCATCCGAGTTTTTCATTATCAGCAAGTTTGGTTAGTTTGGTTAGGTTATGACAGTTTAATTATATTTAATTTAAATTTAACCTACAAATGATACGTTTTGACAGCAACAGTGATAGAGATAACAATTTTAGCGCCTCTGATCCTCGTTCCTCGGAGTTGCACTGGCAGTCTAGACGCTAGTGCTTATTGGCAGTATGGTCCAGCGATTGCAGCACATAGCGGTGAGTAGAAACCGAAAGTGACACATTGGAAAAGCGAGTTTAGCATCATCCGTAAACCGGCAAACCTCTGTTACAATCACCCATTGCAGTTATGATTTTTCACTTTACACTTCACACAACCGCCATTGAAACGCCGTCAATGAGTGACGCCTTGTTAGTAAGCTATTGGCGACGATGATTTTATAAATGCAAGTTCCCAGCCCTATACAACACTGATTCAAGGTCTTTTTCGCCAGTTATCAAAACTTCAGAACAATTTTATACACAAAGAATCTCTAATTTCATTTACGGTTACAATACACATTATTGAATGAACTTTCGATTAATTAAATCCTTTATGTAAGGAAACTCGTTTTAATCTCACTTGGTTTGGGTTTTGCTTTCAAAACGTTATTGGAAACGTTTGCGGTATTTGTAAACAACATTTAATGTAAACATATCAGTGACAGCTAGAAAAAATAATTTTGATCCGAACAGCTGTTCGTTATTTGATTATGTGATGGACATTAGGAAAAAAACTTGACAAAAATCGCACGAAATCGGGTTTTTTAAAATAAGTTTTGGAAAATACATTAATTTCTTACTAAACTACAGTACCTTTTAACATTTAACATAAAAAACACTTTTTTTACCCTCCCTGTTGCAGAAAACCAATATATATATATATATATATATATATATATATATATTATCTATTAATTACATCAAAGTAGTAAGGAATTTCCCTTAGACAGGTGATGGGATATCTCAATTTATTTATATTTCAAATTACTTTTTAAATTAATTATTTTGTCACGCTTTTAATGTCAAAAAAGTCATTAACTTAGTTGTAAGTTGTAAGATTATTTTTTGTAGAAACTAGCCAAGAAAAATAGCGGGAAAGTGAGGGATATTTTGTGGGATAACTCGTGACTGAATGTGTGATATTTCGTGACTCTGCGTGGAATATTATTTTCCGTCAAGTGGAAACACTGCAATCAATCCTCTTCCTCTTCGTTTTCAATGGCATGTCATTGTTGCCATTTCTCGTAAAAATCGTGTATAGCATTTAAATCAATAAATGTTTATCTTATGTTGTAAATAATACAATAAAATCATAGTTGAGTACAATTATCGTATCTTACCATAAAATATCGTATATATGGTAGACCTGACTGAAGCGAGCAGCTGATGCCATTCCCACAATGCAGCATTCTCCTCAATTATAAGCTATGCCCCAAAACCAGAATTATAAGGTATGACTAAAAATCAGGATTATAAGCTATAGAACAGAATCGGAATTATAAGCTGCGCCACTATTTGACCATTATAAGTTGTGAAACTGAAAATGTTTCATACCTTATAACGTCTTAGAGAAATTGTGGCATAGCTTATAATTTTTCGTGAAATTGTGGCATAGCTTATAACTGATTATAAGCTATGCCACATTTTCAACATTATAAGCTATGGAACAAATTCACGATTATAAGCTATGACATTATAAGCTATGAGACCCCACGTCCTCAATGTGCCTCAATCGACCCTTGACCTTAGGTTAACTTCAATATTTACTAAGTTACTACTACTAGGTAGAAGGTAGGCCTAATTACCTAACATACCATACGGTATTTCATTTTCTTTCATTCATTCATTCATTTAGATAGAGGAAGAGGATTGAAGTTTGATTTAGAATAGAATACGATCAAAAACAAAAAGTAACCTAAGTTTTAACTGCTAAGTTATAACTTATTTATTATTTTGTCAGGAATATTGATTGGATTTGAAAAAGAACAAAACAATGATTGGAAGACTTGTAGCAAGGGGTTGCAATCAGTTGGTGAGTGAGTGCAAAAATTAACCTACATAGAATCTAGTATTTAATTTAACTAGCAATAGCCTAATACTTATGACTAGGTCAATCATGAAGTAAAAGTTAAAGTAGTAGGTCTAGGCCTGACCCACAAAAGCATCAATGGTAGGTACAGTTTTTTAACTGGGCTTCTATTGATTGAAAATATTGATTTGATTAGTAAAACTTAAACCTTCATTCAAATTTTGGTAATTCTGAGCAATTACTTGGTCAACCCCAATTTTTTTCATATTTTACTACGGTCATCAGGAGGTTCTCAGAAAGCAAGAAACATAATTCAAGCCCCGCAAGGTTAAGTTAGGTTAGGTTAGGTTAGGTTAAGTTAGGTTATTAATTAACCTAACCTAACCTAACGTAACGGTACTGTTACAATTGGCCTTAGAGATGTATTTGAGACTAAAAAACATAATAAGTTAGGTTAGGTTAGGTTAGGTTATTTTAAGTTAGGTAACGTGTTTTCACACCCGTCACATAGAAAAGGATAGTCGGAGGAACCACTAGCCATAGCCATGACGGTACTGTCACAACTGGCCTTCCGCGCGTCTCCCGCAAGCCACTGTTATCGCTTGGACTTTGAACATTCTTATCGCTCGGCAACCTGTACGATGGCCTTGCCAGTGTTGGGTAAACTACTATTTAAATGTAGCTTGCTACTGCTACAACTACAATTCTCTAAATGTAGCTTGCTTTTGCTACTTCTACATTTTTACAAAATGTAGCTTGCTACAGCTACAACTACAATCAAATTGTAGCAAACTACTTTTTTGCTACATTTCATTTTTAATAATAAAACACTAGTTTTCAGAATGTGAGTGTAATGAATCATTAAAATAAACGGTATAAGCTGACACACACTTTCCCCCATAAGCTTGTAGGCTTGTATTTCAGCCTGTGAGAGCCGTAATGCCTCTTTGACTCCTTTGATAACATCAGTTTGCGGAATCCTAGGCAATGATTTTCAAACACTAATAAGAGCATTAGCTGAAAGATGGCCAGAAAAATGGGTTAAGCCTTACAGCCTAGTAGTTAATTGGATAAGAACGAGACTGACTTGCTCAATTTTAAGGGCAACAAGCATGAGTCTGCGAAGATCTCGAAAAAATGGAGATCTGCTCCAGAATTCGAAGATGGAGCAGGCATCCAATATTTTTAGTAATATCTGTAATTTAGATTTATTTGTCTTATTTATTTGTAATATTTATAATAAATAGCCTTTCATATTTACATAAAAAAACCTTTATCACGGGTAAGCCAGAGGGGCTAACTATCATATTATTCTATGGGGATGAATCACAAAAGTTGCAATATAACTTTTGACCGTAATTCTTACAGCAATGGGGGCTTGAACTATATTTTTGTTTAGAATTATAAGGACCATAAAACATTAATTTCAAACAAACCCGGCTTTTTCCTAAAATATGATATTTTTTTATTTTTTAGGGGTTTTATGAGAAATAACATACGGTAATAAAAAATAAGTCATAACTTTTGATCTGTACTTTTTACGGAAATGGGATCTGTACCATTTGGTTCAAAATTTTAAGGACCATAATATATAGGTACTAATTTTAATTAAATCGGCCTTTTTTTATAAAATCTATTTTTTTGTTTGATGGGAAAATAACATAAGTTACAATAACTTTGGAACCATAATTTTTACAGAAATGGTATTTGTGCCATTTTGTTTAGAATTTAAAAGACTATAACATACTAAATTTTTATCAAAATCGTTCTGGCCGTTTTTGAGAATATCTGATTTTTCCGTTATTTTATGGGAAAATCATCATTAACAATAAGTTTAAGAAAATATTTAAAAAAACACGCCTGGAGATTTAATGGATTAGTACCAAATTTCACAAAAATTCATCTGTTTAGATATTGTGTTCATATAAACTGTTAAGTTTGTTGTAATTAATTTGTTTTTATTGATAACATTAAAACCAATTAAAAAATGTTTACTACTGTATAAGAGAAAATTTCATAGATTTTAGATTTCATACCCCACACCCTGGTTTAAGAAAATTTCTTACAGAGGTGGGAGGAGGGATTTAGGCTTGCATTGTGCAACCTCAGGGAGGGAGGGAGGGGTTTAAAATGGACATTTTAACGGGGGTTTTTAATGGGGTTTAAAATGGACATCAGGTTGGTTTGGAGAGGGTTTCCCCCTCTCCATGTCCTCTACAATCCCTTTATTGACTAGACTAACTTTGTTGTTTAAATTATTTAAAGTAGCCTAGTTATTGAATGTTATAGGCCCTAATGCTAACCACTGGACATTTCATATTGACCTCAACTATACAAAATGTTTTTTTGTAATTTGTTGTAATAAATTCTTGATTCTTGATTCTAAAAATGGCAAAAACGTGTTACATAATATGTGGACGACCCCTTAGCTGTGATCCTTAACCTCCTATAAAAAAAACAACTCCTCTAACGTACTCGTAACTTAATATTATTACCGTAAATAAATTGGCAAATGTCTCACTTAAATTATGCATAGTTTAAAAACAAAATATAAAATATATTAAACCAAACTTTACAGACAAACATATTCAGTAGTCCATCAAGAGACATGAGCTGGTTGTTAAAAACACATGTTGAAAATATAGCATTAAGAAAACAGGTTACAGACTTGAAATCATGAATTAAAAGCACACTGTGATTTATAAGTACTGATAAAGAAAAACATATTGTTGTTGTAAAAAGTAGCATAAAAAAGTAGTGAATGCTACATTTACTGCTACAAAAAATGTAGCAAACTACAGTAGCGTTGCTACTTGAAGTTTGCTACTACCCAACACTGGGCCTTGCAGGCCTTGAATTATATGTTTCTTGCTTTCTGAGAACATCCTGATGACCGTAGTAAAATATGAAAAAAATTGGGGCTGACCAAGTAATTGCTCAGAATTACCCAAATTTTTGTACTATCAGCAAGTTTAGATAGTTTAACCACCTGGGTTAGTAGGGATTGTCGGCAATGCTAATTTTGTTTATTGTAGCCTAAGTTACCATGCTTAAATAGATGTGTGCATTGGAATTTCTTAACTGGGCATTGCTAATATCGTTTGAAACTATCCTTAATAAAAGTAAACCTTCATGCGATTTTTTCACCATCAGCAAGTTTGGTTGGTTAGGCTAGGTTATCTAGCCTATATATTAATTTGAAACTGTTTTTCTTTGTCATAGCTATTTTGAAAGAACGGCTGGGTGTAGAAACTCGGTAGGGGTGTCTAAAGAAAGGTCTTGGTCTGTAGATGAGCCATCAAAAGAGAAACGTGGTAAATTCCCTAGGGGCTCTGCCCCAGTGGCCTTTAACCTTCCAGAGGTCGCATCACGGAAGTAACCTCCAGGGATGTTTTATTTTTCACGAATATATTATTTTGAGTGGTGTCGGCAGTGTGAGTGTCACTGTACCTCGTGCACCGCATTCCTAGAATCGAGTGAAGGTCAAAACTCACCCCTACTATTTTATATTTGTTAGTTTTGTTCAGTTTTGTAAGAGGCTGGAAGTAACTTCCGTGTGCGCTCTGCCGATTCTTATAGCCTACAGCCTGGAGGCAACTTCCGTGATGCGACCTCTAGTTTATTGTGTGCGTTGATTATTACGTGTAAACAATTACTGTAAATAATTATTTTTTTACGATTCATGTCATTATTTAGTAAATATATAGTTTTTACAAGATGAGTGATGAAGTTAAATTTTGAATTGCAACACTCTTAGCCGTGCTGAAAGGGGGATTCACGAACGACGTATGTACGAGTCATTTAGTATTAAGATACCCATTATTTTAAATTACTTAAAACATCAGGTATTGAGAGTGTTATCATCTTCTACAACCACATTAACTTATGATATTGTGGTAAAATTTAAATTAATTTCATGAATATATTCTTGTAAAAGATTTCTTCATATACTTTTATGTTAGAATATTTGATAGAATAATAGTTTAATTTTACATTCATAAAATCCACATTACGTTATTTTATAATTAAGAGTTAACTAAACACATTTTTGATGTTGAAAATTAAAAATAAAACTTAATTTGTGCACTAAAATACAAATTTTACTTCATAAATGTTTGTTTTTATTGACCTGGAAGTAACCTCCGGGTGCGCCCTCTCCCGTTTTGAAAACCAATGCGCCCTCTGAAAGGTTAAAGTCCCATCTCATGTTATTCTTATGGAGGAAAACGGGGTTTTTGTCACAGCTAATTTGATAGAACGGCTGGGTGTAGAAACTTGGTAGGGGTGTCTAAAGAAAGGTATTGGTCTGTAGGTGAGCCCTCAAAAGAGAAACGAGGTAAATTTCCTTGGGACTCTGCCCCAGAGGCCTTTAAAGTTCACTCTGAAATTTTGTTTACATTACGACCATATGGATAATTTTACACTACTTTTAATGAACCAGCTGTTAATATTAAAACTGTATTCAAAGGTCTACTGAAACTGTCAAAATTAAATGTTTACATTATTATTTATGATTTTAAATTGATTCTCCACTGCATGGCAAGTTTTTAATAGTTTCAACATAATTTATTTTTGTAAAAAAATACAACCGACTTCAAACGCTCTAAAAAGAATGAAATAATTTCAATAAAGTAAACTTTTGTATTAGGCAAGCTCACGTACTTCAAGTCGGCGCGGCTCTATGATGATTTTTGAAACAAAATTGAAGGAGGGTGTCCATATTGCAGGTGACTATCTATAACTAAAGTTGTTAATCTGCATGTCTTTTTCATATTTATGCGTTAAGTGTTATTTTATTACCGTAATCAGAGATCGGCATTATAGTGGTATTAACGAGCATCTTTAAAAAGATTATAACGCATCTAAATGTTTCTAACATGGAAAAGTAATGTTTTAACACCAAACAAGCTTCTTTTCCCTATCATAATATCAAACTAAATTATTTTCCTATTCATATAGAACATTTGTGTGTGTTATTTTCATAATGCATTTATTCTGAAGTT